AAAAATGTACAGTAAAATGACAGCAAACTCACAATTATTATTAACAACCACATCTAAAAAAACAAAAGCGAACTAAGCAAACAACTAGAACAGGAACAGAACCACAGAAATGGAGATCACCTGGAGGGTTAGCAATAGGGGAGTGGGAGGAAGAGGGTGGGGAGAAGGTACAGAGACTAAGTAGCATAGATGATAGGTAGAAAATAGATGAGGGGGAGGGCAAGAATTGTATGGGAAATGTAGAAGCTAAAGAATTTATGACACATGGACATGAACTAAAAGGGGGACTGTGGGTGGGAGAGGGTGTGCAGGATGGAGGGGAATGAAGGGAGGGAAATGAGAAAACTATAATATATTAAAAAAGACAAATAAACATGGAAGATTTGAGCAACACACACTAAAAAAGAAATCAGCTGATAGTCTTATAGGAACTCCTTTGTAGGTAACTGTCTCCTTTCCTCTTGCTGCTTTTAAGATTCTCTCTGTATCTTTAATCTTGGGTAACTTAATTATGATATGTCTTGGTGTGGTCCATTTTTGGTCCAACTTTTATGTGACTATGCTTCCCAGACTTGTATATCTACTTCCTTTACCAAATTAAGGAAGTTTTCCAGAATATTTTTTCAGCTAAGTTTTCCATTTCTTGCTCTTCCTCTTCTCCTTCTGGCACCCCTATGATTAGGATGTTGGTATGTTTAAAAGTTGTTCCAGAGGTTCCTAAGCCTATCCTTGTTTGGGGGGGGGATTTATTTTTTTCCTTCTTGGTGTTCTGATTGGAAGTTCTTTCTTTCTTGTGTTCCAAATTGTTGATTTGACTCTTGTCTTCATTATCTCCACTCTTGGATCCCTGCATATTTTTCTTTATTTCATTTAGTGTAATCTTTATTTCTTCCCTTACATTGTTGCCAGACTCAGTGAGTTCTTTGAGCATCCTGATTACCAGTGTTTTGAACTCTGCATCTAATAGTTTATCTCCGTTTCGTTTAATTATTTTTCTGGTGTTTTGTTCTGTTCTTTCATTTGGGCCATATTTCTTTGTCACCTCATTTTGGCAGCCCAGGGAGGGCTGTTTCTTTCTGTGTGTTAGGTAGAGCTACTTTGACTCCCTATCTTAGAAAAAACACCTATAAATGTGTGATGTGTGGGACAGAACCTTAGATAATTACTAGGTTGGGAGGGCGTCAAAACCCTGCTTCATCGCTTTGTGGTTCTGTGTTGGGGAGGGCTCAGAGAGGGGATAGTGTGGCTGCCTGGCTCCTGGAGGTTTGCCCAGCACTTGCCCCATTTCCAGTCACTTCACACATTTTCCATATGTGACTGATACCCTTCCAACTGTTGCCCTGGTGGTGAATCCCCGAGTGGGTAGGTTTGCATATGTTCTAATTCTGTGCAGGACATTTAAATAGACTGTCCTGAAAATCCTACAATTTCTTCTGCTGCCCCAACTCCCACTTCTTTTTACAGCCAGAAATTATGGGGATCTGTCTTCCTGGCACTGGAACCCTGAGCTCTGTAGTTAGGCCTGGGGCTGAAATCACTCACTCCCAAGGTATTCCTCCTGATTTTTATCCACCACACATAAATGTGGGGACCAACCGATGTGCCACTGCTGTCTTTCTGTGCCACATTGTCTCCACACCTCTCTGCCCTACTCCATGACTCCACCCCTCCTACTCATCTGGATGAATGTGGCTTCTTTAAATCCTTAGTTGTCAGACTTCCATAGAGATCGAGTTTCTGAGTTCTGGCTGTTGTGTGTTTTGAGATATATTTGTAATTCACTCTGTCATAGTGCAAGGAGGCAAAGCATGGCTACCTACACCTCTGTCTTGACCAGGAGTCTCCCATTGGAAACATTTTTTTATTGTTGTGTAATTGACATACAATAGCCTATTTGTTTCAGATGCACATTATAGTGACTTCATACTTAATGTATACATATGAAATGATCCTCACATAAGTCTAATTACTGTATATCACCCTACAAAGTTATTACAATATTTTTAATGTATTTATCTTTAGAGGAGAAGGAAAGAGGGGGAGAAATAATTGACTCTTGTGCGTCCCTTGCTGGGAACTGGCCTGCAACCCAGGCATGTGCCCTGACTGGGAATGGAACCATAATCCTTTGGTTCGCAGGCCTGCACTCATTCCACTGAGTTACACCAGCCAGGGCAGTTATGCTGCATATCACACCTCATTACTCATTTAAAATTTTATAACTGGAAATTTGTACTTCTTAATCCCCTTCACCTATCTTATCCAGCCCCTGAATGCCTCCCCACTCTTTTAAGCTCTAGTATGTTTCCTCTGTGTATGAGTCTATTTCTACTTTTATTTGTTTGGGGTTTTTAAAAATTATTTTTAGTTCCACATATAAGTGAAATTTTATGGTACAAGGTATTTGTCTTTCTCTGTCTTATATCACTGAGTGTAATATCCTCTAGGTACATACATGTTGTTGCAACTAGCAAGATTACATTCTTTTTTATAGCCAAGTAATATTCCATTGTGTATACCACAATGTTTTTATCCACTTGACTATAGGTGGGCACCTAGGTTGCTTCCATATTTTGGCTACTATAAATAATGCTACATTGAACATAAGAACACATACTCATTTGATTTAATGTTTTCATTTTCTTTGGATAAATACCCAGAAGTGAAATTGCTGGATCGTATGATAGTTCTGTGTTCAGTATTTTGAGGAAACATTTTTATCATGACTGCTCTAAAATGATCAGAAGTCCTGATAGAGTCTCTTTCACCTCAGTATTAATATTTGTTGGTTGTTTTCTTTTTATTGTATGTGATGTCTTCTGGTTCTTGATATAATATATAATAGTTGTTTAAACCTCGACACTTTCATATTATGCTGTTATAGTTCATGCTTTATTTCAACCTACTATTTTAATTGCCTTTCTCTGACACTCTTTCAATAGTTGTATGGGGGCATTGCTGCCTCATTTACTGCCAAGTGGAGGTCCCCACTTAGCCTCTGTTGGCACCAAGATGGGGGTGTTTTTTCCTGCCTCCTACTCTCCCCTTAGCCTCCTTTGATACAGCACACACTGAGAAAGGGAGACTACCCCAAACTGCAGGGTGGGTGAAAGTGTGGGGGGTCTCCACATAGTGTCACTGACAGGATAGTTGGGGCCACATATTATTGTCAGGCACAGATATAAGTGTCAGACCCTAGGTCCCTCATTAACTGTTGCTGGTGCAGAAGGGGTGGGCCCAGGTTTTTCTACGGTGTGGCTGCAGTAGTGCAATCAATGTTTGCTAGGCTGCCCTCTTTCCTCTCCCTCTGGCTACAGAGAAGAGGTTTCTGTTAGAGCTTTATGGTCTTTGTAGCTTTTCAAGGTACCCAACTTTATCAGCTCCAAGTCTGGAAAATCCAGGAAACTAATTTCATGTAATTTCTCAGGTCCTTAGCTGGTCTGACTTTTATCTCCACATTTCAGTCTTCTTATGTTTATTTGATATGAAGTCCAGGGATTTTGGTTATACCTAGTAATAAAGATATGGAATATGTCTACTCCATCTTCCCAGAAGTAGAAATCTTTCATATACTTTGATTATACAACTTAATTTTAAAATATTTGAGATCTGTCTAAAAAGTATCCAACTATGTAATATGAAAAATAGAGACATTTAACAAGATACAGGAAACATTGTTCCTAGGACAATGATGCCTCAGTCCCCTTTGAAGCAGGTACCTTGAGACCTGACACAGTTCTCCCAATTGCCATTACCTGCCCTGTCATATTTTCCTGTATCCCATCAATGGTCTGAAATCTCTTCCTCTTCAAAGGCGATTTTAGTTTTGGGAAAGGCCAGCAGTTGCAGGGCACCAAATCTGGGCTGTAGCAGGGCTGAGTCACCTGGGTGATTTGATGTTTCACTACATCAAATCACAATCTCTGCCCAAGATGTGATACATAAGTGGGTGCATTGTCATGATGAAGTTGCCAATCACCAGTGGCCCATAGCTGTGGCCTTCTGAATCATCTGAATAGTTTCCAGGGAAGAATGTTCAAGGTTAAACACAAAATTTAATGCAGATTCATTGCTCTCCTTGCTAAGACATTTTTAATGCAACAGCCACACAATACACATGCTCACTCAGTGGTATTTACTGCCCCTACTGATTAGTACAGTGAGTGGTCATTGGTCACATGCACGCATTCTGGCCCATTCTCCTTGGCTGCCAGATTACACTGATGTCGCACATACCGTTCTTGTTATATTAACAATGGTTAGACTTTTTCTGAGCTGGCCTTATATTTCCTTCTAACTAACCCAGTTTAGATGATCTCATGGAAGTTTAAGCTGCAGGATTCAGTGTTCTGCCCTGTGTTATACAGACAAACTGTCCAGTATTGCTTCTTATGACCAAATGTTAACAGCACAGGAATAGGGCCTTCAAATCAGAGATGCCACTGATGGTGAAATGGACAGCATTTTTTGTATTTCTCAGAAAGAAAATTACTGTGAGTAAACTAAGATGCCATCCATAGTAAATGCATGCTAACGTCTGAGAGGTGAAAATATGGCATGAGGGTGCTGCTTAAAATAGAATCAGTATGCTAGTTTTGTGAAAAGAACTTGCAGAGAAAGTGCAAATAATGGTATATAAATGTTTAGCCCTGGATGATGTGATTCAGTGGATTGATCGCCGGCCTGCAAACCAAAAGGTTGCCAGTTTGATTCCTGGTTCAGGGCACATGCCTGAATGAACAGGTCCCCAGTTGGAGGCATGCGAGAGGCAACTGATCACACATCAGTGTTTCTCTTCCTCTCTTTCTCCCTCCCTCCCCACCTCTAAAAATAAATAAATAAATATTTTAAGTAAATAAATGTTTAGATGTGCTTTATTTATTTGTCATGTTCCTGTTAACAGGTATTTGCTGCTCATCTTTCTAAAGCAAGCATTCCTTTTTTAAGAATGTCAACAAGGCCCTTTCAACCCCAATTCAGTTGTTCTCTCTTCCTTACAGAGATCGAGCTGCCTGCTTTGCTATTCAGAAAGGATTACAGGCATCACGTAGTGACATTAAGTTATTTGAGCATAATGATATGGCTGACCTGGAGCAACTGCTAAAAGAACAAGAGATTGAAGATCAAAAGGTATAATTCTTTTGAAGAAAATTATGTAGTTCTTTCAACCAGATAAATTATATATGAAATAGTAATTTGTCATGAAAACTTGCCTGCAGATCACATTTGAATATTAAGGACATTCCTGCTTATTAGATGTACTTCATGTTATAGAGAGCCAAGTCTGATTGTAAATTGCCTGTCACTGCCAGTTACATATGGCAACTTGGAGGAAGTTAATCAGACAGATATCTAAAAGGGAGAGAAAAAAACAGCCTGCACTTTATGGGTAGGGGATATACACTTTCAACTGTACAGAAGTAGCACCAGCACTCATTAGCATGCTAATGAACTATACCTGTTGAATTCAAAATAGATTAATTTATATCAGAATAAATCATGTAACAAGTAAGTGGAAGAAACAATGACAGCAGATCTTAATTTATGAATTTCTGAACGAAGTGACACTCATTTCTCCCCACCCCACCTTCATGCTGCAGCTCTGAGTGGCTGCTACCTATGAGAAGCAACACCCAGACTTGGTTTCCTGCCATCTTGCAACCATTTACACTTTTTCTTCCCATTGGGGAGTAGCGCTCATTCCTCCATGTTCGATTAGAGTGTAGCAGGGGACATGTGTTGAAGAGCATCGTTGTTAGAATTATCGGTTGTTTTCTTGTGATGACATGGATGAAAAAAGTTGTTCTGGCCTGTGCTTCTGTAAGAACAAGAGTGTGGTGGCAGTACTAGGAAGCTGGTGAGCACAGCCTTCCTCTCAATACCACTTTGAAGCAGGCTTTTTCAGTACAGCTCATTCATTACTAGGGGAAGTGATAAAATGTACGTTCCTTAATTTTGTGCTAATTTTTGTTTTTCCAGATAATTTGCATTATTCCTTTAAGATTTTCTTATCTTTGTTTGGTGATAGTATAAAAGCAGCTCTTAATGAATATATACATTCTGTGATAAATTTTATTTTATTTTATTTTTTTAATATATTTTACTAATTATGCCATTACAGTTCTATTTCCCCCCTTCATTCCCCTCCACCCTGCACACCCCTCCCCCACCATTCCACCCTTTAGTTTATGACCAAGTGTCTCAAGTTCTTTAGATTCTATATTTCCCATACAGGTCTTGCCCCCCCATCTATTCTCTACCTACCATCTATGCTACTTATTTTCTGTACCTTCACCCCTCTTCTCCTTCTCCCACTCCCCTATTGCTAACCCTCCATGTGATCTTAATTTCTATGGTTTTGCTCCTGATCTAGCTGTCCTCTTAGTTTGCTTTTGTTTTAGGTGTGGTTCTTAATTACTATGAGTTTGCTGTCCTTTCACTGTTCATCTTTTTTGTCTTCTTTTTCTTAGGTAAGTCCCTTTAACATTTCATATAATAAGGGCTTGGTGATGATGAACTCCTTAAATTTGATCTTATCTGAGAAGCACTTTATCTGCCCTGCCATTCTAAATGAAAGCTTTGCTGGATGGCGCAATCTTGGTTGTAGGTCTTTGGATTTCATGACTTGAAATACTTCTTTCCAGCCCCTTCTTGCCTGTAAGGTCTCTTTTGAGAAATCAGCTGACACTCTGATGGGAACTCTTTTGTAGGTGACTGTCCCCTTATCTCTTGCTGCTTCTAGGATTCTCTCCTTCATTTTAATCTTGGCTAATGTAATAATGATGTGCCTTGGTGTGTTCCTTCTTGGGTCCAAGTTCTTTGGGACTCTCTGAGCTTCCTGGATTTCCTGGAAGTCTATTTCCTTTGCCAGATTGGGGAAGTTCTCCTTAATTATTTGTTCAGATAAGGTTTCCACTCATGGCTGTTCCTCTTCCCCTTTTGGTACCCCTATAATTTGGATATTGGAACATTTAAAGATGTCCTGAAGGTTTCTAAGCCTCTCCTCATTTTTTTGAATTCTTGTTTTTTCATTCTTTTCTGTTTGGTCATTTTTTTTCCTCCTTCTGGTCCACTCCTTTGATTTGAGTCCCAGTTTCCTTTCCATTACTATTGGTTTCCTGTGTATTTCCATTCATTTCAATTAGTTTAGCCTTCCTATGTTCCTCTAATTTGTGACTAAAATCAACCAGTTCTGTGAGCATCCTGATCACCAGTGTTTTGAACTATGCATCTGAAAGTTTGGCTATTTCTTCATCGCTTAGATTTATCGGCTCTGGGGCTCTGAGTTGTTCTTGAGACGTGTTTTGCTCTATTCATGCCTGTTACATATGAGGAGTGGAGCCTTAGGTGTTCACCAGGGCGGGGCCACCCAGGTCGCTGGTTTATGATGCTGTATGTGGGGGTGGGGTCAGAGAGGGAGCAATGGCGGTCCTCTCTACTTGCCCAGTCCGCCTCACCACTAGCCCCTGCCTGTTTATCTGAGCGCAAATGTGCAAGCCTGCCGCCCTGCGTTGTGCAGTCTCAATGTTCACCTCTTCACTGGTTTATCTGTGCGCAAATGTGTAACCAACCACAGACAGCCAGCCATGCCTCTTCCCTGTGTCCGCCCGTAGCTAGCCCGCACCTGGGATCCGCGCTCTCAGGTGCCTGTGCACCACCCCGGTCAGCGATCTTTTTTGCCCAACCTGCTCCGCTGCTGGCTTCGCCCTTCTCACCGGTTTAGCTGAGCATTTCATTGTTTTCGGACTCTGTATTGTCAATTTTCTGTGTGGTTTGATTGCATTTATTGTTATTAAAACTTTGTTGTTTTTAGATTTTGTTGTGCGAGGACGCAAGGTATTTCCACCTACGCCCTCCATCTTGGCGGAAGTCTCTTGGAACTTTTTTAATGAATAACAAGAAATAAAATTAAATTCAAATTTATTTTCATTTTATAGTTTACTCTTTTACTACTTTGTAGTACATTTTTATACTAAAAGTAGGGTTTCTAAATAACTCTACACTTTGGATTTAAAAAATTTTTTTGTTTTACTTTCACAGAAATATAAATGTTAATTTTTAAAAATACTTAATTTATTTATTTTTAGAGACAGGGGAAGACAAAGAGAAAGAGTGGGAGAGAAACAACAGTGTGTGGTTACCTGTCATGTGTCTCCTATTGGGGACCTGGCCTGCAACCCAGACATGTGCCCTGACTGGGAATTGAACCAGGATCCCTTTGCTTCATAGGCCTGTGCTCAATCCACTGAGCTACACCAGCCAGGGCTAAATGTTAAATATATGAATATTTTCTACTGAGAAACTTATCTTTCCTTTGAAACTGAATTTAAATGTTGCAGCTTAATCCTCGTTTGGATCAATATTATGTTGTTAATTTCTCAAGATGTTTCTCGTTCCTTTTCCTACAGGGTTCTCTTGTCCCATATTCTTCTAAAAATAAAGGACAGTAGATTTAAAAAAAAACAGCATTTTATAGTAAGAATAAAATAACTGAGCAAATGGAACATAAAATGGATTCACTAGTAATGGGAGAAATTAGGCTAGGAGTTTTTGCCTATCCAATGAGGGAACTAATAGTATTAATCAGTGTCAACACTGATATGTGTGATGAGAAAGAGAGCCCTCCTATAATTCTGGGAAGAGTTTTAATTGAAACAGCCTTTCTGGAGTGTAAGTGGGCAGTTATATTCCAGTATTCTTAAATATCCATATCTTTCAGACTTGTATCTAGAATGCTATCTTTAGAAGGTAATCCGAAGTGGCGTCAGATGTCCAGCCAAGATGGAGGCATAGGTAGACACACTGTGACTCCTTGTACAATCAAAAGAAGGACAACAACTTTAAAAACAAAAAACAACCAGAACTGATAGAAAATCAAACTGTATGGAAGTCTAGCAATCAAGGAGTTGAAGAAACATTCATCCAGACTGGTAGGAGGGGCAGAGATGGGCAACTGGCTGGAGAGGACTCATGGCAAGGTGGCAGCTGATAGACTGGGGGTCCCACATTCAAGTGCAGATAAACTGGGAAGAATAACTGGGGAGCGAGATAGACCTTGCAATACTGGTACCAGTAGAGGGAAATAAAGCCTCAAAGCCTCTCACTGGAAAATCCTGTGGAGGTTGGGGTGGCAGTGGGAGAAAAAGCCTCACAAGAGAGTTCAGTGGAGAGACCATAGGGTCCTAGAACATACACAAACCCACCCACCCAGGAATCAAGCCCAGAAGGGCCTAATTTGATTGTGGGTAGTGGGGGAAGTGACTGAAAACCAGCAGAGCGGAGCAAGCACCATTGTTCCTCTCAGATCCCTTCTCCACATAACAGTGTCACAACGCAGCAACGTGGGTTGCCCAGCCCTGGTGAACACCTAAGGCTGCATCCCTAACTATGTAACAGGTGCGCTGAGACAAAAAAAAAAAAAAAAAAAATGGCCCAAATGAAAGAACACATCAAAGCTCCAGAAAAAAATACAACTGGGCGAAAAAGAGGTAGCCAACCTATCAGATGCACAGTTCAAAACGCTGGTAATCAGGATGCTCACAGAATTGATTGAATGTGGTTGCAAATAAGAGGGGAAAATGAAGGCTATAAAAAGTGAAATAAAGGAAAACATACCAGTAACCTAAGTGACAGGAAGGAAACCAATGGTTTCCTGACAAGACTGAAATCAACAGTTCGGAGCAGAATGAGGAAAGAAACATTCAACCAGAACAGACTGAAGAAACAAAGATTCAGAAAAATGAGGAGAGGTTGAAGATCCTCCAGGACATCTTTAAACGTTCCAACATCCAAATCATAGGGGTACTAGAAGGAGAAGAACAGTAGCAAGAAATTGAAAACTTATTTGAAAACATAATAAAGGAGAACTTCCCCAATCTGGCAAAGGATATAGATTTCCAGGAAGTTCAGGAAGCTCAGAGAGTCCCAAAGAAGTTAGACCCAAGGAGGAACACACCAAGGCACACCATAATTACGTTAACTAAGATTAAATATAAGGAGAGAATCTTAAAAGAAGCAAGAAAGGAGAGGGTTACCTATAGAGGAGTTTTTATTAGACAATCAGCTGATTTCTCAAAAGAAATTTTGCAGGCAAGAAGGGGCTGGAAAGAAGTATTCCAAGTCATGAAAGACAAGCACCTGCATTCAAGATGATTATCCAGCAAAGCTATCCTTTAGAATGGAAGAGCAAATAAAGTGCTTCCCAGATAAGGTCAAGTTAAAGGATTCATCATCCCCCAGCCTTATTTTATGAAATGTTAAAGGGACTTATCTAAGAAAAAGAAGATAAAAAACACATGTACAGTAAAATGACAACAAGCTCACAACTATTAACAGCCAAACCTAAAAAAAAACAAAAAACAACTAGAACAGGAACAGAATCACAGAAATGGAGATCACATGGAGGGTTTATCAGCAGGGAGGTGGAGGGGGAAGAATGGGAGAAAAGATACAGGGAATAAGAAGCATAAATGGTAGGTACAGAATGGACAAGGGGAGATTAAGGATGGTACAGGAAATGGAGTAGCTAAGTAACTTATAGGTACAATCCATGGACATGAACTAAAGCAGGGGAATGCAGGTGGGAGGGGGAGTGCAGGGCTGAGGGGAATAAAGGGGGAAAATGGGACAACTGTAATAGCATAATGAATAAAAAATATATTTTTTAAAGTGGTGTCAAAGATAGAAAGGTATTTATTTACAGTACAATGTAAAAAAGCAAAATGAGGGGAACAACCTAAATTCAACATTGAGAGAATCATTAATTTGTGGTAATCCCACAACGTGGAATATTATTTCTCCTCTGAAGTGTTTTAAATAATATGGAAATGCTCATAATATAATACTTCTAAAACCCTGTTACTGAAACTTTGCAGTAAAATTCTGATTCTAACAAAGTAATTTTTTTAACAAAGTAATTTTTAAGGATTTTTTTAACAAGAAAAACAAAAGTTCTCCATGTGTAGTATGACAAGCTAATTTAATTATTTTTGTACTTTTCCATTTCTCAAGAGTTCTACATTGAATATTTTAAAATCCTAAATAAAATACTTCATTTTTAAAAGGCAGAGAGGAACTGGATGCCCCATGTCCTTGGACCCCCAGCAGACCCATGGCATTTGGGTATATGTGCAGAGTGGAGATGATCAAGCACACTCGTGGGGGATACTTTTGCATGCTTAAACAGACAAATTTCTGAATGGTCTAGCCATGGATTTTAAAATACCCTTAAAGGGTAGCTCTGATATTTGAGTTTCTAGTTGTCCATCAGACAGAAGGTTAGAGGCAAGAAACCTTAGGAAGGAAGTGGTAAACTGTGTGCAGATCTCAGTTTTTTATAGCCCAGGACACCTGAAACATCCACACAGTCAGCAGTGGGACTTGGAATCACTGGGGTGTGGGTAAGGTGTGTGTTATCTGAAAAAGTCCCTCTATACCACTGACTTCCAGTATCACCAGATGAGGTCATTGACAAGTTTGCATGGCCCCATAGTCAGGAGTAAGGAAGGAAAAAGGTTTTATTATTTTGGTAAACAAAGTAAATAAAGCAGGGTTCGTCTGTTTTTAAACTTTATTATAGAAAATTCCAGGCACATTCAAAGGAAACATAGTATAATGAAGTCCCTGTACTCTTCTCCTAGTTTGTTATCAACATTCTGCCATTCTTATATTATCTGAAACTCCACCTAACTCAGCATCACATCTCAATGATGATGATGATGATGATGATAATGATGATGATGATGATGATGATGGTGATCGATTTTAGGTATGATAAATTACAGACACTAAAATGCATAAATCCTAACCATACAATTTGTACCAAGGGTTAGACCCATGTAACCCAGGTATCATGGCCCCAAGCATTCTGTTATCCCTGAAAGTTCCATGGGTCCTTTCCCACTCATTCTAGGTTCAGAGGGTTTTATCTGTGTGATAATAGTCTCAGAATGCCTAAGGTGGGTGGGTGGGTGGGTGTGTGTATGTGTGTGTGTGGTCTCCTAGTTGATGTATGAACTAAAAAACATGTATTAGAGGAGAAAGCACAATTTGTTCATAACAGCATGATCTCAAACCTGAGCTTGAAATTCATCTACTATATAGTTATTTAGTTATTCATTTGATGAACAAATCTTTGGAGTCACTAGAGTTTAAAATGTTCGTTGTTTTTTTTTTTCTTTTAAAGAATCCTCGCAAGGCTCGTGTAACTCGACGCTTCATTGTAGTCGAAGGGTTGTATATGAATACTGGAACTATTTGTCCTCTTCCAGAATTGGTAAGCAACTGTGATTGTTTATTATTTTAGTATTCAGATTATTTGGCAGTTTGCTTTTTGTTTATAACCACTTTTAATGAATATCATCTATATTGCTTTGCATAGTAGGTGTCATGAGCACATTCAAATTATACCAAGGAAGTAGATTAACATTAAATGCCTACTCTGATCTTTAAAGAGTAATCAGGACTCAACTTTTTAAAACCAACTTCATTGAGAGAGAGTTCCTTCTTGCCCCTTTGTAGTCAGTACTCTGAAACCTGGCCCAAGGCCACTATTGACCTACTTTTTGTTCCAGTAGTTTTGCTTTTGTAGAATTTTATATAATAAAATTATAAAAATTTATAAAATTATAAAATTATATAAAAATTATATAATAAAATTCTACAAAAGGTATTTTGTGAAGCTTAGCTTTTTAACAGAGAAAAGCAACATACACTGTTTAGAAACCATGACATGAATTTTTTAAAATTGAGGTGAAATTTACATAACAAAATTAGTATTTTAAAGTATATAGTTTAGTGGCATTTAGTACATGCACATTGTTATACAACTATCAACTATCTATTTCTAAAACCTTTTCATCACTTCAAAAAATACCTCTGTACCCAGTAAGCAGTCACTCCCCATTTTCCCTTTCCCTTAGTCCTGAACAACCACCAGTCTGCTTTCTCTCTATGTGAATTTACCTATTCTGGCTATTTCTGTAAAAGGAATCATCCTGATAAGTATCATATACAGTAGTTTCCCCTTATCCATGGGAGACACATTCCAAGATCCCCATGGATGCCCGAAACTGGAGGTAGTATCAAACCCTATATTATACCATGTTTGTCCTATAAATATATACATAAAATAAAAATTAATTTGTACGTTAGGTACAGTGGAAGATTAACAATAACTAATAATAGAACCCTTACAGCAATAGACTGTAATAAAAGTTACATGATTGTGATCCTTGTTTCAAGGGATCCCTTGCTGAAGTCTTCATATATGTTCAGTGCTTTCTGGTGCAGTGTGTTGCTATTAACTGGAACAAATTTTCTGTTCATGTGTTCTCACAAATTTAATGTCTTTTCCATGTTAGCAATGCACTTATGCACTATGACCATAATGTTTGTAGTTTGAGGTAAAAGCAGAACTAGCACAAATTTCTTTTTCCTTCACAGTTTCAATGATAAAAGATTCGTTCCTACCGTAGAACTTAGCAGCCTCGGCACTATTTTGTTTTTTTCTCAACTTGAGAACTTTCACCTTTTGATTTAAAGGAAGCACTCAGTGGCTTCTCTTTGGCTTATCTAAATTCTACATCACCACTCTTGCACTTTGGGGTCATTACTAACTAAAATAATAGTTACTTGAGCACAGTCACTTGCAATACCTCGACAGTACATCTGGTCACCGAAACAGCTACTAAGTGTTTGTATACTACATGGATATGCTGGAGAAAGGATGAGTCACGTCCTGGGCAGGGAGGAGGGGGAAGAATACTACTATATATCACACTACTCAGAAGAGCACACTGTTTAAAGCTAATAAATTGTTTATTGAGTTGTTTATTTCTGGGATTTTCCAGTTAACATACTGAGACCAAATTTGTGTATAAATAAAACTACAGAATGTGAACTAAAGCTAAGGGGAGACTAGTACAATCCATAGCCTTTCACGCCTGGCTTCACTCACTTAGCTTATAGTTCTTCTAGCTTATAGCATGGATCAGTACTTTATTCCCTTTGAATGTTAAAGTAAGATTATATTTTGTTCATGTGCTGATGAATATTTGGGTTGTTTCCACCTTTGGCTATTGTAAATAGTGCTGCTATGAATATTTGTGTATGAATATTTGTTTGAATCCCTGTTTTTGGTTTCTCTGTGTATATATCCAGCAGTGTAATTGCTAGCTCATACGGTAGTTTTATGTTTAACTTAATGAGGAAGACCATACTGTTTTCCACAGTGACTGTGCCATTCTGTCAATATGTTATATTGTATTGGTTGCTTTTCCTCTTGAACCACCCTTGCATTTGACCATTCAAATCTGAATCTACGAGTCCATCAGTCACATAAGAATTTAAAATAAGGGTTTTATATTTTATTTTAAAAGTTTTTCACTATGTTTTGAGAAACTACATATACATTCTAAATATCAGTGAAAGAGATGTATATTTTTCTCCTCTTGTTTTCATGAATGTCAAAGACTGATAGAAAAATGAGGGCAGGTAGTGGGTCAAAAGATGGTAGAACAGCATTTTATAGGGGTACAGCAGTGGGGCAGTACCATTGGACAAGTATACCATCAAGTAATGAAACAGCACCTTAAGTGTAGGGACAGGTCAGGTGTATGGAAGTGTTGAGAATGGAGGGTACAAAATAGGGTTTGATTGTAGGGTTTCTCTTTTCTTTCATTGATCTGTCTATTTACATACCAGTTTGTCATATTATTATGAAATATATTCTAAAACATGATTTTTAGAAACGATTTCTTTCATATTAATGGATGGAAAAGAGTCAGTGTTGAAAGCTGTGATTCTCCCTAAATGAGTTTATTCATTTTTAACTAAAATCCAACAAAAAGCTGTGCTACTGTGCCAGATTTGATACTGATTAGCAAGATTAGCCAATAAAATCTTGATGATTAAAAGATAAATTACCTGCCCTGGCTGGTGTAGCTCAGTGGATTGAGTGCGGGCCTGTGAAGGACAGGATTGCGGTTCAATTCCCAGTCAGGGCACACGCATGAGAGGCAACCACACATTGGTGTTTCTCTCCCTCTCTCCTTCCCTTCCCCTCTTTCTGAAAATAAATAAATTAAATAAATAAATAAATAAAAAGATAAATTACCTGAGACTTGTGATACTGGACAGCAAACCACCTGAAACTTTTTGTGCACTATTTCTATAATTTCAGTGGGAAAAGATCTTAAAATTAAATCTTTAGTAATTAAGATGCTGACACAAGAAAAGATACATGAGTCATGGGAATATTTGCAAGGTCAACTTCTTGTATCATATGTATAAAATTTAGAGGTTGATAATCATTGTGTTTTAAGTCTGTTGTGAAACTGATCACATGCATATTATATGGGGTAATTATACATTAGGGGGAAAAACCTATACACAATTATGTGTATGTTCAACTTCCCGATATGTAAAATAAAAATATAAATTACATGAATTACTTAGAAAAACATATAGATAAATATGCATCTGAACTTAACTTTGATGGGAAAAGACTTTCTTATAAACCTAAAAAGGTAAAGGGAAAAACAGTGAAAATGTTTTCTGCATTAAAAAAATGCCACAAAGCCAAATTAAAACACAGTGCCACGGAGGAAAGAGCATGCACATTTCCCAGGAATTTTATATGATCAGACCGGTATTTAACAGATAGATTACATGTCTGTGCTCATAATGTCTTACCACTTACTTTAAAAATTGACATTGTGCTATATGTATTATTGAGTTAGATTGGATACTTTAGAGCTTCTAAAGTACCATAAATTTCTATTATTCATGGTACTTATGTTTTATGAACATACTACAAATACTGAATTACAGAATTTTGAACTACTACTCCTGGACAGACAGAGTTAGTTTTCTGCAAGCCTCTAGTCACAACATTTTCACCAGTCATTCAGTACATGACCTCATTTTATATGTGTTTCTCTTTAAAGACACCCTATTTATTTATTTATTTAATTTTAAAAAATAATTTTATTTAGTTATTTTTCAAGTACAGTTTTTTGTCTATTTCTCCCATCCCAGCCCCCCTGCCCTGTGCTCCCATCTCCCTCCCATTTCCACCCCCCTTAGTTCTCGTCCCTGTGTTTTTCATACTTGTTCCTCCAAATCCCTCCCCCTTTTTTTCCCTTAAATTCCCTTCCCTCTTCCCTCTGGTCACTGTCCCCTTGTCCTCTATTTCAGTGTCTTTGTTTTTATTCTGCTTGCTTGTTTGTTTTGTTGTTTAGCTTCCTGTTAAAGGTGAGATCATATGGTATTTGTCTTCCAATGCCTGGCCTATTTGACTCGGCATAATGCTTTCCAGTTTCATCCATGTTGTTGCAAAGGATAGTAGCTCTTTCTTTCTCTCTGCTGCATAGAATTCCACTGTGTATATGTACCACAGTTTTTTTATCCATTCATTTACTGACGGGCACCTAGGTTGCTTCCAAGTCTTGCTATTATAAATTGTGCTGCTATGAACATTGTGGTGCATAGGTTTTTTGAAATTGATGTTTTAGGATTCTTAGGATGTAATCCCAGCAGTGGAATTGCTGGGTCAAAAGGCAGGTTGATTTTTATTTTTCTGAGAAAATTCCATACTGTTTTCCATAATGGTTGTACCAGTCTGCAGTCCCACCAACAGTGAACTAAGGACCCCTTTTCCCCACAACCTCTCCAACGTTTGTTGTTAGTTGCTTTATGATAGCCATCCTGACCTGTGTAAAGTGGTATCTCATTGTGGTTTTAATTTGCATCTCTCTGATAGCTAACGATATTGAGCATCTCTTCATGTGTCTCTGGATATTCTGTATATCCTCTTTAGAGAAATGTCTGTTCAAGTCCTTTTCCCATTTTTCAGTTGGGTTAGATGTCTTCTTAGAGTGGAGTCGTGTAAGTTCTTTGTATATTTTGGAGATTAAACCTTTGTCTGAGGTATCATTGGCAAATATGTTTTCCCATACAGTTGGTTGTCTTTTTAATTTAATACTGTTTTCTTTAGCCACGCAGAAGCTTTTTATTTTGATGAGATCCCATTTGTTTATTCTTTCCTTTACATTCCTTGCTCTAGGGGACATATCGGTAAAAATGTTGCTGCATGGAATATCTGAGATTTTCTTGCCAATGTTCTCCTCTAAGACTTTAATGGTGTCACGGCTTATATTTAAGTCTTTTATCCACCTTGAATTTATTTTGGTGTATGGTGTAAGTTGGTGCTCAAGTTTCATTTTTTTGCACATAGTTGTCCAGTTCTCCCAACACCATTTGCTGAAGAGGCTATCTTTACTCCATTTTATGTTACTGCCCCCTTTGTCAAATATTAATTGACTGTGGAGAGTTGGGTTGATTTCTGGGCTCTCTGTTCTGTTCCATTGGTCATGTGCCTATTTTTATGCCAGTACCAGGCTGTTTTGATTACAGTGGCCTTGTAATACAGTTTGATATCAGGTATTGTGATCCCTCCCATTTTGTTCTTCTTTCTCAAAAGTGCAGCTGCTATTCGGGGTCTTTTATGGTTCTATATAAATTTTTGAAGTGTTTGTTCTATGTCTGTGAAATATGCCATTGGTACTTTAATGGGTATTGCATTGAATGTGGATATTGCTTTGGGTAGTATGGACATTTTGATGATGTTAATTCTTCCAATCCATGAACAAGGAATTTGTTTCCATTTGTTTGTGTGTTCCCTGATTTCTTTCTTCAGTGCTGTGTAGTTTTCTGCATACAGGTCTTTTACCTCCTTGGTTAGGTTTATTCTCAGGTATTTTATTTTTGTTTTTGCTATATCGAATGGGATTTTTTTCTTGATTTCTGCTTCTGCTGATTCATTGTTAGTATACAAAAATGCCTTTGATTTCTGGATATTGACTTTGTAACCAGCTGTTTTGCCAAATTCATTAAGTAGTTCGAACAGTTTTTGGGTAGAGTCTAAAGGATTTTCCATGTACACTATCATGTCATCTGCAAACAGTGACAGTTTTGTTTCCTCCTTTCCTATTTGGATGCCTTTTATTTCCTTTTCTTGCCTGATCGCTGTGGCCAAAACTTCCAAAACTATATTGAATAGAAGTGGTGAAAATGGACATCCTTGTCTTGTTCCTGATCTTAGTGGAAAAGCTTTTAGTTTTTGTCCATTGAGTATGATATTGGCTGTAGGTCTCTCATAAATGGCCTTTATTATATTGATGAATGCTCCCTCTATTCCCACTTTGCTGAGTGTTTTTATCACAAATGGGTGCTGTACCTTATCAAAAGCTTTTTCCGCGTCTATTGATATGATCATGTGGTTTTTTTGTCTTTGCTTTTGTTTATGTGATGTATTACATTTACTGATTTGCGAATGTTGAACCATCCTTGCATTTCTGGGATGAATCCCACTTGGTCATGGTGTATGATCTTTTTGATATATTGTTGGATGCGGTTTGCCAATATTTTGTTGAGGATTTTAGCATCTATGTTCATCAGCAATATTGGCCTGAAGTTCTCTTTCTTTGTTGTGTCTCTATTTGGTTTTGGAATTAGGATGATGCTGGCTTCCTAAAAAGAATTTGGGAGTTTTCCATCCTTCTGGGTTTTTTGGAATAGTCTGTGAAGAATAGGGGTTAGCTCTTCCTTAAATGCTTTGTAGAATTCTCCTGTGAAACCATCTGGTCCAGGGCTTTTGTGTGATGGGAGTTTTTTGATTACTGCTTCAATTTCTTTTGCTGTTATTGGTGTGTTGAGATTTTCTGTTTCTTTTCCATTAAGTTTTGGCAGATTATATTTTTCTAGGAATGTGTCTATTTCCCCTAGGTTTTCTAATTTCTTGGCATACAGTTCTTCATAGTAATTTCTTACAATCCTTTTTATTTCTGTGGTATCAGTTGTAATCTCTCCTCTTTTATTTCTGATTTTGTTTATTTGAGTCCTCTCTCTTCTTTTCTTGATGTGCCTACTTAAAGGCTTGTCTATTTTGTTTATCTTTTCAAAGAACCAACTCCTGGATTCATTGATCCTTAGGATTGTGTTTTTAGTCTCTATGTCATTTAGTTTTGCTCTAATCTTGGTTATTTCCTTCTTTCTGCTTGCTCTGGGCTGTTAAAGACACCCTATTTAATTGATATTGTTGATTCATTCACATTGAACTCACAGCCAAAAGTGTTGTAATTCCTGCCTGAATGAAGCTTATCTAACACACATTTTCTCTATGAGGCACAGCACAGCCTTCTCACATGTAAGAATACCAGACAGCACTTCAGCACTATGCTTGAAATCATTTTAAACAAAATCACCAACCAAAACTACAAAATACAAAAAAAGGTAGCAATAAATAGACTGCGAGAAGGACAGTTGCTTAAAGTAGGAGCTAAAGCAGTCTCTTGTTCAACTCAGCTGGAATGTGCAGATCAGGAACTCAGAGTTTTTGTTCCTCTGCCCTTGTGACCTGAGTATTGATTCAGGGGCCACAGATAAATTTCAGCCAGTGGACAGATTCACATTTAAGAATCTACCTATACCGAGGAGCAACCGGACATGATATTTTGCCCTTTTCATTTAAGGTTAATTTTGTTCTTACTGGGGTGTTCTGTTTGCTGTCACTAATCATTAGAATTGTAAAGTTATGTTTTATTAACATGTAGGTTAAGTTAAAATACAAATATAAAGCCAGGATCTTTCTGGAAGAAAGCCTTTCATTTGGAGTCCTGGGGGAGCATGGCCGAGGAGTCACTGAACACTTTGGAATCAATGTAAGTTCTCCTTTTTTTGGAACATTCTCTCATACAGGAAGTATGCTATTCCATCCTGCTGAGCAGGTTTATGGGCACAGACAGCATCCCTCATGGATGTGCAGGGACATGCCACTCTGGTGTCTGTCACTTCATAAACCCAAGGAGGCCATACCAGGTCAGCCAGACCAGCAGGCCTATCTTCAGAACTGTCAACTCAGAGTGGCTCAATATAGAATTTGTGTTGTGTTTACACAGTAGAATTGGACCCTGGATTTCAGTGTTTCTTCTCTAGAAACAGTAATAATTCCCTAAGTGGTCCTTTAGAAAGTTTTGCCCTGGCTGGTATAGCTCAGTTGATTGATTGAGCATGGGCCTGTAAGCCAAAGGGTTGCCGGTTTGATTCCCAGTCAGGGCACATGCGTGGGTTACAGGCCAGGCCTCCAATAGGGGGTGAGCAAGAGGCAACTATACATTGATGTTTCTCTCCTGCTCTCTTTCCTTTCCGCTCTCTCTAAAAAATAATAATAATAAACATAAAATCTTTTTTTAAAAAAGTATGTCATAGCAGTGAAACAATGTTCTTTTAATATTTAAAGTTCTGATGCATAAACATATATATATATTTGTTGGAAACACCACTGGCACAGATTCAGCAAAGCCCTTCAAAGTCCCAGGCAACTAAAGTCAGTTTTCTTTTGCCATGGAAAGTGAGCCCCAGCTGCCACTAGTCTTAGTGGCTTGTGCTCCTAGAGCCTCAGGGTGAAACTAGTCAGCCCATCTGCAGAACCTATCTTCATCCCCATTGTGTATAGTCAAGTTGAAGGAAGCTTTTGTGTGTAAAAGTTGTGTGTAAAAGTTTTCCAAATCTTGTGTGTAAAAGTTTTGCAACCTGTGTTAACAAGTTGAACTATAAAACATAAAATCACCTTCAATTAGAGAAGTTAGATTGACATAGGCTCCTCAAAGACAAACCAACATTTGACAGTTACATGCAAAGGAATCAAGGATAAAATGGAAACATAATTCAAGTAAACTCTTAAAAAATGAACATTTTAAAGAAGGGAAAAAAGCACTTTCTAATGTCAGGGCTTGAGTAAGAGTATATATTATATGGGCCTTACTTGGATCCTTAGTCAAACAAATACTGCTTTTAAAAAAGCTTTATGAGACAAATATTTGAACAGTGAATATTTGATCTTAAGGAATTTTTCGTTTTTTAGGTGTGATAATAGTTTTATGATTATATTTTTGAAAAAATTCATATCTTTGAGAAATGTACACTGAAATATTTAAAGATGAAACCATATGAAGTCTGAGGTTTACTCCAAAGAAATTATGAGGGTAGTAGGGGCTATACATGGAATGAGATTGTCCATGAGTTGCTAAATGAATCTGGGTGATAGGATACTTTCTCCTGTTTTACTTTTGTATATGTTAAAAATTTTTTACAATAAAAGGGTAGTTTTAAAAAAAATGAGAGTATATAGATTTTCTTGTTAGATCTGTGGAACATCTTTAAAAAACAACAGATGTGATCTAACCAGTCATTATCATGGCCGCCGGTGAGTAATTATTGAATGATTACTGTGTAGCCAGAATAAAACTTGATTCTGGGGGCTGGAACAGAAGGTGAGGATCAAAGGAATGTGTTGAGAAGGTAGAACTCTGAAGCCCATGGAATAGATACCTTGGGTTCATCCATTGCGCAGTTCATCCAGTTTGGTCACAGAGTCAGTTACCATGTATGATTTCATTTTGGGAAAAGTGAAAGTTGACTGTAGGAACAAAGTACTTAAAACTCCAGTTTTTATTTACCTCAATGACCTTTTATGGGGAAAGCCAGGAAGTGATTTTATTTTGTACTCGTGAATATTTTTAGTTTCAAACAACTTTGGGTTTCATATTCTTTTCATTTATCTCTCTCTTCCCCATTGTGTATAAATTGTTAATGCATGATGAAATGGGAAAAAAGGGTGGGCTTTGAAACAGTCCTTTAAACAATAGATTTTGTGTGGTTCATCCTCTGTTTTCATGTAAATAGTTCATAGAACCCAGATGTTGACATGATTAGTACAGAAATGTTGTCTCCAGACTTGACATTGGTTTGGTTTTAATTGAGGAATAATTGATACCCTCTTTCTTTTCTGACAGATCGATGATATTGATCTTATCAGTGCCAACATGGAGAATTCACTTGCTTCTATTGGGGGTTTCTGCTGTGGCAGGTCTTTCGTAATTGACCATCAGGTACATTCTTTTTAAAAGTGAAAGTACGGCTGAAACTCATTGCTCCATTTGTCATCTCAAAATGTAACTTAAAATTAACAAAATTTCATTCATAATCACACAGTTTTTTTAAGACTTTTCTATTGATTGATTTGAGAGGAAGAGGAAAAGAGAGAAGTGTCCATTTGTTGTTCCACTTATTTATGTATCCATTGATTGCTGCTTGTGTGTACCCTGAACATGGGTCAAACACAAGCTTGGTGCATCAGGAAAGTGCTGTAATCAACTGAGCTACCTGGCCAGAGCCTAATCACCAATTTTTATTTTAAAGAATCACTCAAAATATTTATATTTAGAAATTATCTCTCTTTAAATTTTTTTAATTCTCACCCAAGGATATGTTTATTGATTTGGAGAGTGGGGAAGGGAGAGAGAGAGAGACACACACACACACAAATATTGACGTGAGAAACATTGAACAGTTGTCTCCCATACACACTCTGATCAGGGGCAGAACCTGCCTCCAAGGAATTGAGCCCGCAACCTTTTGGCATATGGGATGACACTCTAACCAACGGAGCCACCTGGCCACGACAAAATTATCTCCCTTTTTTAAAAAAAGTCTTGCCCTGGCTGATGTAGCTCAGTGGATTGAGCACGGGCCTGCAAACCAGAGTATCGTGGTTCAATTCCCAGTCAAGGCACATGCCTGGGTTGCAGGCCAGTTCCCTGCAGGCCAGTTCCCAGCAGGGGATGCACAAAAGGCAACCATACATTGATGTTTCTCACCCTTTCTCCTTCCCTTCCCCTCTAAAAAATAAATAAATAAAATCTTAAAAAAAAAACCATCAACATTTCATTCTGAAAAATTAAAAAATATGTAATTATTTTAAAAAATATAAAAATAAAAAAAGTCTTGTATTACATGCCTGGATCTTATTACCTCACTATTTGTATATTCTGTTAGGTAGGTGATAGCAGAAATTTGGTGCCTTTAGACTTTTTAGTCAAAAAAATATGTTTTTAACTTGTTTGTTTCTTCTCAGAGACTTTCTGGCCAGGGGTACTGCTTTTCAGCTTCCTTGCCTCCCCTTTTAGCTGCTGCTGCAATTGAGGCCCTCAACATCATGGAAGAGAATCCAGGTATAACCTTCAGACCCAGGAAGTCAGGCTTATCAAGTTATGTGAGCCATGCTCCTGGTATATTTTTTGGAGGAATTAGCTAGAGGAAATGATTTATCAGACAGAGCTCTCGCTCTGAATTTCATTACCAGATATTTATAGGAAGAACAGCAGTGAAGCAGTTGTTGCTGCATCAGGGATTGCATGTAGTAGAGCTTCTCTCCTGTTCCCAGATCTAGAGTCAAAGCACTTGTTCCCTTGGTGGGTAGAGGCAGAAGGGTCAGCTCTGGGTCAGTTGTCCTTTGTTTTATCATTTTTGGAGAAATTAGTTGAAGTGTGCTACTAATTTTTGTTATGTAGTTTTATAACTGTTCTCTAGTTTCTCCTTCAGCCTTTGAATTATCAGTTGGTATGTAGTTTACCAACCATTAAAGCTTACTTAACTGACGAGGTCGACTAAATTTCAGATGTGGCTTTGTCTGTGATCACTCCTCCTCACCAAAATGTAGAACAGAATTTGAAAAACAGGCATTACCTGGTATCTCTGAATTTTAAATCTAAATTTCTAAATTTCCAACTCTGGTTTTAACTCAGAGAATCGGGAAATGTATTTCTCTATGTCTCTTTGAGTGCATTCATATGCCTGTTCAGCAGATGGCCTGGCCCTCCCACCTCCTGCTCAGACATTTTAGTTTTTGAGTTTTCCTGGAGAAAAGGGAAAATATATGTGAAAAGATCAGAAACATTACTTTATTACATACAGTCTCTATTTTTACCAAATCATTTAGGTCCAGGAATAAAATATAGTTGTTCCCTTTTATTCTTAGCCAGGTTATTTCATAGAATTTTGATAAGAAGAACAATCATTGTCTTGCTGTAGAAAATGTCATCCCACATTTTTGCTGAAAGCAGGGTGAAAGGTATCAGTACAAACTAAAGATGAAAGCTTGGGCCTCTAGAGGAGTTTCTGGCTGTGTGCTATTAGCATGTAGGAGGATTTGTAGCATTTTAAATTGATGAAATTGAACTAGATCTTTAAAAATATTTTTAGATTAATATCATCAAAGTTTCCAAATATGTAGTTGATCCTTGGACAACATGGGTTTGATTTCCACGAGTCCACTTATATATACGGTTTTCAATCTGTGGTTGGAAGTTCACTGAGCTATGTCATTATGTATAGGTGACTTGAAGATCTGCAGATTTTGCTATTCCCGCCAAAGACCAAGGGACAACTTAAGTTTCTGAGAAGTCAAAAGTTATATGTGGATTCTTCATGCATAAAAATTACATGTGTGTGGAGAGGGGGTTAGCACTCTTAACCTCAGTGTTGTTCAAGGGTCATCTGTACTCTTCACTCTATTTTTTTCACTCAGGTATTTTTGCAGTGTTGAAGGAAAAGTGCAAACGAATTCATAAAGCTTTACAAGGGTAAGTCTTATATATTTTCAACCAACTTAATGTTCATCTGCACCACATTTAAGCAGTTAATGAAAAATTTTGAATGTCATCTCTTTGGTGCTGGGTACATTTGATAGGCTTGGGTCAGTTTAATGATTGCAACTAAGAAATCAAAAACTCAGTTCACTCAGATTTGTCTGGATGAAACCACAGTATCCATTGTGTTGTTTTAAAGAATCGTGATTGTTTTCCTAAAAATGATACAAGCTTATTAAGAAAATATTATAGCAATATACAAGATAAAATAAATAAAATAAAAATTAAAAAACAATAAAAAATGCTTGAACAGCAGTTAAAATTTAAAAAAGAAAAAATAACAACTCAACATGCTACTACCAGAAATAACCAACATTAACATTAGAGAATCTCTCCACATATGTACAAATAAAAGGATATAACTATATGCTATGTAATTAGATTATAGTGTGTTCATACTATCCATATTCCTTTTTAGAAAATTACTAAGCTTTATTTGAAGAAAAAGAAACAAGTGAAATTGAAAAGAACCTTATGAGTAGTGTATTTGTTTTAACAACACAAGAGTACTTTAACATTCTTCTTCTAGAGTTGAGACAAAGATAGAGTTTGGTATGATTTTCAATCAGATTTCCATTCTTATAGAAAATATCTCACATTGCCCAGGGTGTTTCTTTTTGCCTTTTTTAAGGTGAAACATGCCTTTTTGTTGATGATAGGTCTCTCTCTATTGCCAGATATGGAAACTAGAAACTTTTGTAAAAGACAAGGACAGTTAAAAAATGAGCAGATCACAGCTGTTCCCAATAAAGAAGGGGCAGAAATAATTAAAGTTCTGGGTGTGTCCACCTTACAGTAACAAATGTTCTTGCATGATTTATGATGGAGAGATATTATTTATATTGGTTCCAGTTACATTGGTTGGTGAAATATTAATACCAACACAGGCCAGCACATTGGAGTCACTTAAATTCAGGAACAGATACCCTTCATTCTGTCTGGCAGTGTAATGGTGTTTATTTTGTAAGTCTAGTCTTCCACTCTTCCCAGCTCTTTCATACCTTTTCATCTCTCCAATATTCTTAATCCTCTGTCTCACTCCATCTGTTTTTAGCTGACAACTGTGCTTCATACTGTCACTTGGAAATGCCCTCATTTTTCCTAACAAACCTGTACACTTAACGGGTATCTGAACCTGTCTGGTGTTGTGTTACACCCAAAGAAATATTCCTCCAACCATCACACTTCTTCTTTCAAAAGACCAAGTGCCTTTGCTGTCCCTTTTCTTTTTCATTGATCTTTCCCCTTCCTGAGTCATGTGATTAGCATTCAGGTACACTCTGCCTATACATTCCTTTCTCTGACCCCACCTTTACCTCTTCTAGCACTAGCTCATATTCTGCTTCTCTTGTAGCTCCTCTTCCCCAGAGTTGTTAGAGCTTTCTCCACATCATTTACACTTGAAACTTCTGAATCTGCCTCTGCTCTTGCACTTTACCCAGACTGTTCCTGTGAAGGTTACCAATGACAGCCTTGTTGCTAAATCCAGCAGACCGTTTTCAGAGCTTGTCTTACTTACCTTAGTAGCCTTCAGCACAGTTGATCACTGTCCTTCTTGCAGCACTCTTCCTTCCTTGGATTCTCTTACTCCAAGCTGTGGTTTTCTTCTGCCTTTCTGAATCTCTTCATCTTGGTCTCCTTCAAAGCCTTTTTTTTTTTTTTTTTTTTTTAGCACCGTCCTCTTCAGGGTTTAGTCCATGGCCCTGTTCTCTGTTACCGTCTTGGAGAATTGCACTCTTCCACCTCTGGAGCTTCAGATCATGGCATCTGCATGTGGGCAACTCACAAATTTGTATCTCCAATGTATCCCTCTCTGTAGGGTTCCAGGTCTCACATCCAAAGGCTTACTTTTAGCATTTCTACGTAAAGGACTCACGGGCACCTCATACCAAACACACAGGCAAGTGTGGGAGCACATCACGCAGATATCTAGATATTTAGAGGGAATAGAAAACAAAACATCAAGGATGCCAGTGTGGCAAGAAGGGGGAATGGGCCAGGGCATGCCTTGAAGGCTGTGACAAGAACCTGGCTCAAATAGGAAGCCATGGCCTGGTTCTGAATAAGAGTGGCATGACATGATTTAACTTACCTCTTAGCAAAATCACTCTTATGTTGTGTGAAAAAATACTTAATGTACCTGGTGGCAAGTACAGAAGCAGGGAGACCAGAGAGGATATTGTGCAGTGCTACCTGTGAAAGATGAAGGTGACTTCAACCTTCATAGCAACAGAGGGTTTTAGATATATTTTGAAGGTGGTATTGCCAGAAGTTCATATTCAGGGTGAATGAAAAAGAGAAGACTCAAGTTTGATCTTAAGGTTTTTGGGCTTAGTAACTAGAGTTGCTAGTAAATGAAATGGTTAGAACTGTTTGGGGAAGTTTGTTGGAGAAGTTCAGTGTTGGATAAGTTAAGCTTGGAATGCCATCAGACAGCCAGGAGAATGTAGCAGTTGGACATACAGTTTGAAGTATAAGGGAGAAGACTGAGCTGGAGATAAATTTGGGGGTCCATTGCATATAAATAGTATTTCAAACATTTCAATGTGAAAGGGTCAGGGACCAGGCAACGAGACTGAGAGAGGAAGAGACAAACCAGAAGAGTCTAGTGCCAAACGTGTATAAGTAGGTCTGTGTGTCCCGTGCTGCTGCTGATAGGTCAGATAAGAGCACTAAGAGTGGTTCCTTTGGTTTCATAATGTGAGGCTATTGTACTTAATCAGCAGTTATAGGGAAGTAGTGGGTGCAAAAAGCCTGGTAGAAGCAGGTTCAGGAGAAACCAGGAAGGGAGGCAATGGACACAGTTACGTAGCTGTTTGTTTTAAGAGAGAGGGGAAGGTAGGAAGAAAGAAAGGGAAAGAAACATCAATGTGTGGCTGGCTCCCACATGCCCCCTACTACCCACAACCCAGGCATGTGCCCTGACTGGGAATTGAACTAGTGACCCTCAGATTTGCAGGCTAGCACTCAATCCACTGAGCCATACCAGCCAGGGCTCCATACTTATAATTTAAGTGGTCCTATAATCCTTTTTATACCAACCTTATGTAACCTAGGAATCAGTGTTTTGATAGCCTCAGTCAGTGATTGAGCCATTTTTCCACACTTCCTGCTTTCTGGAGCCATTGTGTATGACCAGGCTTAATACGTTGTCGCTTCAGAATTGGGTAGGATGCCTAGCCCTTTAAGTTTCTCTAGGTTCAGGGGCTTCCATTGGGTATAGTTTGTGATTATCTCTCCTTGTCTATATTATTTCCCTTTCAGATTTTGTGTTCCTTTCTTTTGCATTTTTATGATAATATTCCCAGAATTTTTTCAAGTTCATTATTTTTAAGTTTAATTTTGTTTTTTAATCATACTTCTTTCATTTATTTCTCTCTCATTTTTCTACTTTGATTGAAATTGTTCTTACTCTTTTTAACTTCTTACATTTAGGTTATTGGTTTTATTTCTTATTTTCCAATAAATATCTTAAAAGCAATATCAAAGGCAGTGTTTTCAATGTTTACTTCTAAGTAATTTTTTTAGTCTCTTCTAATCAGTGATTTTCTTCTCTCTTCTCTGAGGTTGTGTTTGGAAGAAGTCAGCAGCCTATGCTAGTTTGATTCCTTGCTGGAAACTTGAGGAGTTCCTAGATTCTAGTAGATTATTTGTGTCCAGCTTCCTCCCTGACTGGCAGCACATGCTGGAGGCCATGTCTGAACTATTGATTGCTCTGTGTCTGGGGCCTAGCCCAGTAAATACTTATTTAGTATTTACCTATTTGGATAAGATAATATGCCTTTCAAAATTTTTATTTAAAAAGTACTGTAGGCCCTGCAACACAGGTTTTGAGTTTCTGAACTCAAGATATAATTCTGTGTCCATTTGGTTTTAATTACACTTTCATCTGATATTCAGTTATGGTAGCCAGAGAAAGGGTGTTTTGTTTCCTTCCTTCTCCCACCAGCCTGCCTCACCCACTGTGTGAGATCAGCCCACTTGATTGAAGCACAGGTTCAGTTGGGCTATAGGTGCCTTGTATGTGTTAAGAAAAATCCAGGACATTTTATTGATATGAAATGCTATTTGAAAAGCAATTTTTTTAATTCTCCCCTGAGAGTACATGACATAAAGATAATTGGTACTTTTTTGTGTACAAGTTTAGCACATTCAAAGTTCACATAGGATATGGGTTTTTAAAAAGCATGTTGTTTTGCTTCTACATTAGTAAAGAAAACTAATCTAGAAGGTTCTCCCACATTTTAGAAGCCCTGATTCTAAGATTCCATGATTCAGATTTGCAGTCTAATTTATTGAGAGATCACAGCATGGTGTGTGGCATTTAAAGAAGGAGACACGCCCCAACCACTGTGTTATCCCACAAAGCAAGGGGTGGCAGGTTCAATTCCCCATCAGGGTGCCCACACCTCAGTTCTGTCCTGGTTAGGGCGTGGTTGGGGCACATTCGAGAGGCAACCAGTCTATGTTTCTCGCTTTGCCATTTCTCTCCCTTTTTCTCCCTCCCTTCCCTTCTCTCTAAAATCAAATAAATAAATTTTTTTAAAAAGGAGACACAATTTAATAATGTGCAAGGGTTGCTTGAGAGCCAGGTGATGTTTGCTTCCAGCACCTCCCATGCTACTTGGCATGTGGTAGATATTCAGTAAAAGCTTGTGGAGCCCTAAACAATATGTGAGGAATCATGTATGATCCCACATACTTTGTTTTGAGGGAAGAACAGATCTTTCCAGGAGAAACAACCTAAATGAAAGCAATCCAAAATGTTTAGCCTAATTTCAAGAAACACGTATTACCATTTGTGTTCTAGGTCAAACATCCTTAAATATCTTTCTCCCTGAGCAGCACATTACTGTGCTATTAATTCTAAGAAAGAAGAAAATGTGTTAACTCAAGTAAAATTTAAAATTAAACATACAAATAAGAAGTAAACTTTTCTATCTAAACATATTGCTGCTGGTAGTTGAATTATAACATTTTCCATGTCAGATTACTTATATAATTTATAAGACAAGGTACAGACCAAAGCTTAGATAACAAGCAAGGAAACAGTTGTGATAAGTAGTCTCTGAGATGAAGGAATCAAACAGCAAGTACAGAAAATGATGATGCAGACCCTTCTTCCCTAGAGTGGGTGATTAGGGAACTGAAGGAATCAAACAGCAAGTACAGAAAATGATGATGCAGACCCTTCTTCCCTAGAGTGGGTGATTAGGGAACCCCTGGGAATGACACTGGAGCTGAGACCAGATGTGCCTGGTGCTAGCAGCAACAGGAGGGAGCAGATGGGGAAAGGAAACAACAAGGTGGAGGCCTAGGGACTGATGGCCTGCAAGGAGCCCCAGGAGAAGAGGCCTCCTGAGCCCAGGTAGGTGAAGGAGCAGGGCCTGTAGAATTGGTGGGAGACTGGAGGTGATTCCTGTGCTTTCTGTGACATGTGATCCAGAGGTATCCACCGGATGGGCACCTTCCTCCCAGCCCTGCTCACAGAAACAGCATGAGGGGTCCTGGACTGGGAGCACTGCTGAGAGCATGCATCTTACTTATATCAGAATGGGAATCCCACCACAGGAGAGTTTCCCATAAAAGTCACAGGTTTCTTGTCACATTCTTTAATGCAGACTGTGTAAAATTATTTGTGTGGAGGTACCTGAGCCTGGAAGGTAGCTGGGTTGTGATATGTGTGTTTTCCCTTCTCCAGTATTTCTGGGTTAAAAGTGGTCGGGGAGGCACTGTCTCCAGCTTTTCACCTGCAGCTACAAGAGAGCACTGGGTCACGAGAAAGGGATGTTAAACTACTTCAGGAAATTGTAAATCAAGTAAGTATCCAGTTATTTGAGTGATTCTCATTTACCTCCCCTCTCCTGAATCCAAGTATTTTTTTTTAATTTTTTAATATATTTATCTTTAGAAGGGAAGGGAAGGAGAGAAGGAGAGAAATATCAGTGTATGGTTGCTTCTGGTGCACCCCCTGCTAGGAACTGGCCTGCAACCCAGGCATGTGCCCTGACGGGGAATCGAACCGTGATCTTTTGGTTCCCAGGCCCATGCTCAATCCACTGAACTACACCAGCCAGAGCCGAGCAGTTTTTTTATGCCGTTTGTAAGAAAGCCATCTTTGCCCCAGGGGTGGTATACAGTGGAAATTGCTGGTCACCCCTCTCATTGAATTGCCTCAATGCCCAGTTGAATCTGTACCATATGTTGACAGAAACAGTTCACTCTGTTGGGTCCATTTTCAGCTTGCATTGAAGGTGTAGTGTTCTGTACCACATTTTATTGAAATACAAAGTACACTTTGTTTCTACTCTGAATAACCTTACAGAAAGCCCTTTTGCTTACCATTTACAAAGCCAAGATTTTTTACATGCACATGGGGACAGCATTGTGTGTAATGACAACACACAACACTGGACAGCTACCTGTCAGAGTAAACCCCTGACATAGGTCAAAAACAGGCCATAATAATCTTATAACCAAAAAGGAAGGAAGGAAGGCCATTTTGCAGTCATGCCTAATTTGGGAGGTTGATTTTAGTATATTTATCATCTGAAAGTCAGTTTACTACCAATTGTAATTCATTTCTTTTTTTTTAATAGAGCAGTTTATTTATATTTTTAAATAAATTTTATTGATTATGACATTATAGTTGTTCTATTCCCCCCTTCATTCCCCTCCACCCTGCACACCCCTCCCCCACTATTCCCCCCCTTTAGTTTATGACCACGTGTCTCAAGTTCTTTAGATTCTATATTTCCCATACTATTCTTGCCCTCCCCCCTATCTATTTTCTACCTACCATCTATGCTTATTTTCTGTACCTTCTTCCCCCTTCTCCTCCTCCCACTCCCCTGTTGCTAACCCTTCTTGAGATCTTCATTTCTATGTTTCCACTCCTGATCTAGCTGTCCTTTTAGTTTGCTTTTGTTTTAGGTGTGGTTGTTAATAACTGTGAGTTTGCTGTCCTTTCACTGTTCATCTTTTTTATCTTCTTTTTCTTAGGTAAGTCCCTTTAACATTTCATATAATAAGGGCTTGATGATGATGAACTCCTTAAATTTGGTTTTATCTGAGAAGCACTTTATCTGCCCTTTCATTCTAAATGAAAGCTTTGCTGGGTAGAGCAATCTTGGTTGTAGGTCTTTGGATTTCATGACTTGGAATACCTCTTTCCAGCCCTTTTTTGCCTGTAAGGTCTCTTTTGAGAAATCCACTGACAGTCTGATGGGAGCTCTTTTGTAGGTGACTGTCCCTTATCTCTTGCTGCTTCTAGGATTCTGTCTTTCATTTTTATCTTGGGTCATGTAATGATGATGTGCCTTGGTGTGTTCCTTCTTGGGTCCAACTTCTTTGGGGCTCTCTGAGCTTCCTGGATTTCCTGGATTTCCTCTCCTTTGCCAGATTGGGGAAGTTCTCCGTAATTATTTGTTCAAATAAGGTTTCCACTTGTTGCTGTTCCTCTTTCCCTTCTGGTACCTCTATAATTTGGATGTTGGAGCGTTTAAAGATGTCCTGGAGGTTCCTAAGCCTCTCCTCATTTTTTTGAATTCTTGTTTCTTCATTCTTTTCTGTTTGGTCATTTCTTTATTCTTTCTCGTCCACTTCCTCACTCCCTTGATTTGAGTCCCAGTTTCCTTTCCATTACTATTGGTTTCCTGTGTGTTTCCCTTCATTTCAATTAGTTTAGCCTTCATATGTTTCTCTAATTTGTGACTAAAATCAACCAGTTCTGTGAGCGTCCTGATCACCAGTGTTTTGAACTGTGCATCTGAAAGTTTAGCTATTTCTTCATCTCTTAGAGTTATTGGCTCTGGGGCTTTGAGCTGTTCTTCTTGAGCCGTAATGTTTTGCTCTGTTCGCTCCTGTTAGGTACGAGGAGCGTAGCCTTAGGTGTTCACCAGGGTGGTACTACCCAGGTCGCTGGTTTGTGACACTGTATGTGGGGGCGGGGTCAGAGAGGGACAATGGGGTTCCCCTCTGCTGCTTCCTGCCGCTGGGGCCTGCTTGGTCTGTCTCAGTCTCACTTCTCGATCCTTTGCTGGTTATCTGTGCACAAATGTGTGACATAGGTCAGCCCTCAGTGGGTCCACTCGCTGCTACTCCACACCTGATATCTGCCCACTGCCTGCATGGCTGGGTCACGCACCCAGGTCGGTCCGGTGGATCTTTCCTGCTTGACCCCTCTCTGCTGCTGGCTCTGCCCCTCTTACCGGTTTGGCTGAATGGTTCATTGTTGTCAGACTTCTGTATAGTTCAATTTTCTGTGGTTTGGCTGCGTTTTTGTTGCTAAAACTTTTTTGTTTTTAAACTTGGTTGTGAGAGAAGGCAGAGTGTTTCCACCTACGCCTCCATCTTGGCTGAAGTCCTCTGTAATTCATTTCTAAGCCAAGAAATGCTCACTGGAGAAAACCACTTGCCCTTTTCTGTGCTGTGTCTCCTGGAGTCCTCCCTCCTCATTTTTCATCATGCTGCTGCTCCTCCTTCTAAGAAGTGTTCAGTGACCCTGCAGTTCCATCAGAGTTCATGCCTTGTACCTAAATCTGAAATACATCTTGTGTGTATTTGAGAATGAAATGGGCTACACTCTGCTTCCTTGACCTAATTGTTCCTGTTGATGTTTTCTTCTGGAAGTTCCTCTTCCAGTGCCTGCTGGTCAGTGGCAGGGTAATTGTGAGAGCTGCTGTCTTTTGTGTTCCTTTGACCAGCTGTGGCTCATGGAGATCAAGTCCTCACCTTCAGTCACATGGCTGCTTGGTATGGAGACCACAGTGTGAAGCCAGCCTCTGGCTTCACAGCTTGTTTCAAGTGTCCTGTGTTCTACAATGTGTGAACCACATAGCCTGGACTAACAGATTCCTGACATCTTCATATAATTCATGGCCTTTTGGAGTCAGTCCTCTTAAAAAAAATATTACTAAACCCAGAATGTGAAATTCCTAATTAAGGAAACATGTCAGATTATGAATGATTGGGCTGGAGTGACTTTCACCTTGCTGAGTGAGGAAATGTCACAGATGTCCCCTCAGGTCCAGCTTTGCAAATGTGAAAAAAGACTAGCTGTTTTAAATGCACAAACATCCCACCAACCACATTTACCGCCTTGGTATTTTCACTGTAATGTGTCTTAAATGTACATAGACAAAAAGGTAGTACATCATCCTTGAGATTAGAGTTCTTATAAAAATGTAATACTGAAACAAGTTTATAAATAAAACATGAGCTGAATGGACAAGTCAGGAAGTCACTTTAATCACATTGCCTTTCTGGACATTGAGTTTGTTTCCTGGATGGCCTGGTAGTATGACCAATGTGGCTGGTGCAGAGCAGGCCCCTGAAGCTGTGTTTCCTATGTTGGAATTCACATTGACCCTGTCATTCTCTGAGTCTCCCCAGGCCCCCTCAAATGGTCCTCTGCACGTGTTTGTGTGCAGGACATGGGCCTCTGTAGATGTTGGGGTGTCAGATCCTTTTTAAATCCACCCTTGTGCTTTGCTTACTTGACAGCAACAGTTTAGGTCTCACTGCTACTTTGTGCAGAAGAGGACAAGTGAGTGAGATGATTTGATACTAATAATTATTCACTAATAATTAGCTCAGCATGGGTTGTGTTCAGGAAATCACCTTGAGAGCTCAGTGAGAAGAGAACAAGTCCTATCGGGAGGGAACAGAACCCTGTCTGCAAAGTGCATTGTGGGAAGGAAAAAGGAAGCTCTTAGTACTTCTGTGTAGTGTCACAGCTTCCACCTTCAAAGTCTTGTGTGCACTCCTCTCCACTTTTCCTTTTCAGTATTTGAGGGAAATAAAAGGTCATAGAACTGTGACTCTTGTCTAAGCTTTGTAGAACTGAGAGGTTTTGTCAGCTTGTTGAGTTGCTTGACAAAACACTGTTTTCACAGACTGAGTGAAGGTTTGTAATGTTCCTTCGCTAGCCAGGACTAGAGACAGGCACTGCGTGTGTCTTCAGGAGCGGTGAGCTTTTGTGGGCATACCTCCAGGCTGAGACACAGCACGAACGTGGCCTCACTGCCCAGCTTCTACCCTTTCCTGTGGAAACCCTGCCTTGCAGCTCACACAGGGTCCCACTCCCAGCACAGGGAATGACCGTCCTCTTCTTCTGTAAATTGGTTCTTTTGTAAAAATATGATTCATATACCACAGAAGTCACCCTTTTAAATTATACAGTTGGGTGGTTTTCATATATTCACAAGGTTGTACAACCAAAATCACTAACTCCAAAATGTTTTCATCACCCCAAAAAGAAACCACTATAACTACCTTGATCTGATTTTTATACTTTCTTTGATAGAGAATGTTTTAAGTTTTTTTAAATGTCAGCAGGTGATTAAGGCATGGGAAAGCTGTGCACCAGTGTGTGGCAGCAGACCCTTCTGTGCCTGGTTGCACCTGGCCAAATGTAGCAGACAGGAATTGGAGGCATCGCTAGTGTTTGGAGTAGGAGCAGTTTCTGTATGAAACATTCTGCTGCCATTATTCTTAAGTCTAGCTCTTGGTTAGTATGCAGGGTGGTACTGTTCCCCTGTGTCATAACTCAGCTTTGTCTAAAATAAGTACTAGCTACCTGTGGCTATTTAAATTACATTCAACTAAAGCTCAGTCTCCTAGTGGCACTAGCCATATCTTAAAGCACCTGATAGCCGTATCTTAAAGCACTTGGGCTCATGGCTGCTATAGTGGACAGTTCAACAGCACTGTCCACAGTTGCATTATGCGGTGTTAATTACATCTTCTAGCAATTATTATTGGACAAATGAATTAAAATTACTGTTTAGAATAGCATTTAAGGGTACCTTCCTGTTTTAATTACCACAGTGTCCATAGTCCTGGTTTGAATGTATTCCTGTTCTTCCTGCAGTGCATGAACAGGAGCATTGCATTGACTCAGGCTCGCTACTTGGAGAAAGAAGAGAAGTGCCTCCCTCCTCCAAGGTTGGTTCTTCAAGTATGAACTTTTGTTTTCCTACCCTAAAAACCTGTATGAAATGTATCATGTCTTGAAGTTTTTTAAAAGGCTATTACAGGGCAATGAAGAATGTTTATCATTAAAATACCAGCTCTTGTCTGTTCTTAAACTAGATGTTTTCTAGTTTTAACTGAAAAGCCCCAAAAGACTCATAGTACCCTCTTACTTGATTGAAAGAAGTGTCTGAGATTCTAGGAAGTATCTGAGATTCTAAGAACGAACGGAGGCAGTGGAAGTTTCCATCAGCAAATACCTTCCACACCCCTCAGAGCACACACTCTGCCAGCAGTTTCTGCACTTGATCATACAGACCCTTACATAACATCCAGGGAAAACAGCAGTGGCAGGAAATCACAAGGATTAGGAAGCCCTGCGTGGGGATGCACCTGGACTCATGATTTAACAGAACATCTGATCCTGCCCTCCACATACGGACAGTGTAGTTAAGGAGGGAGACACTTGAAGCATGTCATGGCAGGGGTTAGTGGGGTCACAGAGAAACCATGAGGCCATGGTTTGTCTGGCCAGGGAGGGACTCAGATTTCTGAAAGAGACTGATGAATAAGCTGAGCCCAGGAAATTGAATATGTAAGGCACTTGGTGGGCATTGTGACCTTCCAGTAGGGAGTAGGGGATGCCATGGCATGGCCACCTATAGGTGCATGTGGGAGCCAGAGCACAAGCTTGAAAGGCAACAGTGAGAGAGAGCTTGGAGAAGGCCCAGCACAACTTGGGAGTAAATGGGAGTCAGTGTTGTGGAGACACAGGGACCGGGTTGGGGTTCTGGAAGACTGCTCTGGCATCACTTCGAAAGCACCATACAGATCCTGCCCTCTCATTTCTCAATGTAACCAGGCAAGATGTGATTTAGTGTGTTGAGGACAGGGGCCATCTTGGCTTTATGCCCTGGGCTCCATGCCCAGCACTGCAGCTCAGTAGATGTGCCCAGAGGATGAAGCAGTTTTTTGCAGACAGAGGTAGAATTGACTTGAGGAGCTGGTATTTGTCTTCACTTTTCTGCAGACTTAAAAATGTCTGCCTTGCCTCAAAGTATTATAGAACTTCCCCATGACTTACTGAATTACAAATGTGAGCAAGCAGATAGTTTACTAATTGGAGAAATTGAAATTCTCACCTCAGGCCTGGTGCTGCTTGAGGCAGTAGGTTATTTGAAGAGCCAATTTGCTGGTGTACCTGGGCAGAGCCCTACAGCAGGTGACTTCTAGTAGACACACACACAGTGCAGGCAGGTAGACAAGCTTCAGTGAATGGCCTGATAGGAAATGTCTTCATTCTGCAGGACATAGGACCCTGTTCCCACCCCTTACTTACCCTGAATCGTAGACAAGAAAGCAGCCATGAGAGCAGGTCAGCTGCTGGGTGGGCTGTGTTCCAAGAGCTTTTTCACAAAACAGATGTCTGTTATTATCTCTCAGCATTAGGGTTGTGGTCACAGTGGAACAAACAGAAGAGGAACTGGAGAAAGCGGCCTCCACAATCAAGGAGGTAGCCCAAGCTGTCCTGCTGTAGTCTGTCTCAGGGCCTGGTGGCCACCACACAACACACAAAGGTCCCAGTGCTGCTGGGAGGGAACATTGAAAGGTCCTTCACATACCTGACACTGCTATTGCAGCTGCAGTGGGTGTGAGCTCAGTGTGTGACCATGAGCCAGACGCTGCTTATTTCTACAAAGAAAACATCTTGAAGCCCAGGAAGTGATTTTTTTTAAAGGAAAACTATTGACAGCATATAACTGGAATTCAAATTGTACTGTGTATTTAGTACTATTTAAATGTTTTATTGTAGTAGTAGTTTATATTCTTTTTTGTTGTCATTGTTTAAAAATGGAGCTTCAGTTTATCTTCTCTCCCTTCTGTTGGTGAAGACTCTCTAAGTACTCTTTAAGACTTCATAGAAAAATGTCTGCAACATGTATGTATTCTTGAAGATCTAATTCACCTCTGTCTTTTCCAGTCTTCACCCTGTGAAGCTCAATGGTAGCTAACATGTAAAGGAACACTTCTTGTGCAGTTATAAATTTTTCATTATATTTGAATCCTAGGATTTTTATAAACACTTAATACTGCTGTTATACCATTTTGGACAGCTAATTTGAACATCTCTAACCAGGAAATAGTCATAATACTTCCTAAGTGGACAATAACTTAAATCAGATATTATTTTATTTTAATAGAATATACCTTTCCATTTATTATATGTAGACCTAATCTGTTTTAGAAAGAGGATTATTATGATCATGCTAAAATATAAATTATGTCCTCACTATTTTAGAAAACCTTGCATGTATTCCTTTTTTGTGTAGTGGGTTTGCCTAGGGACATGTAACTACAAGCTTTTTATAAGCTAAGGAAAATAAGTTTTTATCTTTTCAGCTTATTAATACCAAATGTTCAAAAATGATGCAGAGTACTAAAAATAAAGTATTTAAGCTATACTTCAGCTGTTTTTTTCCTTAGTAAACCAAATTAGGTGGTGTAAATGTTTGTGACATGTGTTGCATAAATATTACACCATTATTTTTTCTCTTATTAAAGGTAAAGGAATGATATTGTAAAAATATTTTTATAATTTATGTTCACAATCTTTTTAAATAACACATTTTTTAAAACTTGGTTTCGGTTTTGCTTGAGGTATTACATACATATGTGCCTTGTGATTGCTGCTACTGCTTAAAGGATGAATCTGTTTTGTTTGTTTTTAATGAAAATAAATCTATATTCCTGATCATGACTCTTTTTCACAAAACAGGTGTCTGTTTTATGAAATTACTCTGTTTGCATGTGTAATGTATTCAACAGACTTAGCCCTTTGATTTTTTTTAAGATTTTGTTTCTTTTTAGAGAGAGGAGGGAGAGAGAGAGAAAAGGAGACAAATACCAGTGTGTGGTTGCCTCTAGTGTTCCCCCTACTGGGGACCTGGCCCACACACAACTCAGACATGTGCCCTGACTGGGAACCAAACTGGTAACCCTTCAGTTTGCAGGTCTGTGTGCATTCTACTGAACCATACCAGCCAGGGCTTGATTTTACTTTTTTTACCAATCTAGGATGGTATTTTTGTGGGGGTTGGGAGGGTTCGAAAATACTAATTTCTCAATACTTTATTTCACTGTATAGTACAATATCTGAAATTCCCTAGGTTCCTACTAATTTAAGCCTTGGCAACATAGAACTACAAAAATACCAGAACTATGATTTTATAAAGGATAAGGATTATAACTTTTCTACTACTTTATACCTTCTAAGTCAAAGTTGCAGCATCTAGATTTTATTGCTACTTTTGAAAAGTGATTGTAAATTCCTTTTACAATCATTTTTCAAAAGATAGCTGAACACACATTATGTAACTTCAGTCTTTGAAAAACACCAACATTTTAAACAAAAAATAATATCTGTTAAAACTATAGAGTAATCACAATTCAGTAATGTACAACACCAAAAATAAGAGCTAAGCAAAATGTTAAGAAGAAATTGTCAGCCCTGGCTGGCATAGCTCAGTGGATTGAGTGCGGGCCTGCAAACCAGAGTATCGCGGTTCGATTCCCAGTCAGGGCACATGCCTGGGTTGCAGGCAAGTTCCCAGCAGGGAACGCATGAGAGACAACCATACATTGATATTTCTCTCCCACTCTTTCTCATTCCCTTCCCCTCTCTCGAAAAATAAATAAAATATTTTAAAAAAAAAGAAATTGTCCTCTCAGATCTGATACAAATTTCTCTTAGAAACATAAGGTTTTGCAGTGCTCTGTAATGATCCTCTGTTGAGAAATGCAATGTCTATGGCAAACAGCAGTTGTAACATTGGAGGCCCATTTCCACTCTGTACAGTTTCCCACAGAGGATGAAGGAGCCATGTGACTGCTCCCTTTCTGTTGTCTGCAGTGAGAGTTCAGTCCAACTCAGGAAAAGTCAGCTTTGAGGCAAGTTAGGACACTAACTGGACCGTGCATTTTTCTTTTATGTACTCTACTATCTGTAATATGCCATCAGTTGTAAAATGCATTTTAATATCACAGAGGTAATGTGGGTGGGAAATGTACATCCTAAAATCTATGAATCAAGACAATAATAATCTGGTATGTAGGCCTGATGCCATCTTTCCTTATGGACATAAAACCTTAGTCCCAGAAATAACCTTAGTCCCAGAGATGTTTGAGGATATTTCCATCTGATATTATTATGCTATTAAATAAAACTATCCATTATCCTACACCTACAGTATGGATTATGTTGTACAGAATACATAAAACTGTATTTCCCTGCTTACTGTCTGATAAAGAGAATGGGCTGGGAGGCTTAAGGATGATGGAACAGAAAAAATACATAATAATTCATTTCAACAGCAATATACAAAGCAAAACAAAAGCGAAGCAGCATTCTTAAAAAAAATGCAAGGCAAAAATTAGTATAAGTCAAGGACTTTATAACCAGAAAAGCTGTCTTTTAAGTAACAAGTTTAGAAAAACAATTTAAAATTGGAGCTCAGTACCGTGTCCATGAGCAGTTCCATCAAATCAAGAAATAACAGGAAACTTTAAAATGACAAATATGAGTGATGAATATATTTAATTAGATATAAGAGTAAAGAAAAGATGAGATAAGTGGAAGAATAATATATAAATGTTAACATACTCTGACAAGTGATACTAATAAAATATGGGTGGAAAGAGAAGAGGGAAAACTTCAGAATAAGCTTGCTGTGTAGGTATGAGAGACAAACATATACACAGTGGCTCAAAAAGGCTAAACATAAGGAAAAGTGAAAACAGAAAGCCAAGACAGTATTCCTAATATCACAAGGTAGAATACAAGCCAATACACATTAAGCATGTAGTGCTAAAGGGCACAGTTTAAAATGATAGAACAATTACAAATAATCTCACACTAAATATCACAACCCAAACTCAGCATATACTATATACTATAAAGAGATTCAAGGGAAATGAGGAATATGCTAAAGAGTAGGAGGTTTGAACTTCTAGTCCAAGAAAAGTCAAATGGGAAGAAACTAAAGACTGTAGATGACCTAAGCAATATAACAATATAAATCATATAGCAATGTCAAACTTTATATCTGGATGCTAGAGAATAAGCTTATTCCCAAACACAGATGGAATTTCAGATACTGATCATACACATTAGAAATCCATGAATTAATTTCACAGATTACAAGGTTTGCAGAGAAATGAAAAAGTGTGGCTCACACTCTTGTGGAGTGTGGAGCAAGAAGCAGCCAATAGAAACTATCATGTTCATCCCCACATGATGCATTTAGCAAAGATTTTAAGGCAGTTGCTACCATGTTTATAAAATTAAACTATGACAATAATGAATCAATAGGTAACTTCAAAGAGAAATTATTTTAAAAGAGTAACATGGAAATTCTGGAGTTGAAAAATAAGAAAACTGAAAAAACTCACTAACAGGGCCACCACAGAGCATCAGTAACTTTAAGATAGGTGAGTAGCAACCAACCAACCTGAAAAAGAGAGAATATAATGATTGAAGAAAATGAATAGAAAGAGCCTCAGACTCCTGTGCGGCAATATCAAGCATCCCAGCACATTTGTATAGGAGGGGCAGAAGAAGAAGAAAGGGGCAAAATATTGGAAGAAAATAGTGTTCAAAAATTTGCCTAATTTTATTTAAAAAAAAACGAATTTACACATTCAAAAATTTCACAGTTTTTAAAGATTGCAGTTAAGGTAAGTGGGAGTGGAGCCCACTTCTCCTGGCTGGAGTGCCTAGCCAGTCTTCTGAGGAACAGAGTGAACGGCCAATGGAATCCCAGCTAATATGAAGTTTGGAGGCCAAAAACTGTAGAGGACATTGAAAAGTAGATGGTAAGGAGATTGCATTGGGATGGTAAGTTCCCTGGGATCTGCGTAGGGACCAAGGCTGCTGTGACCCACAGCCCAGTGCCAGCCACAGGATCCTTGGAGGAGGGCCCCTGATGCTTGAAGTTGCTGAGGGGAATAAAGATGAAGTGGGAAACACACAGAGGTGGTGTTCACCTGTTGGGACTGTGGGGCTAGGTCATTGCCAGAGAAATTGGAGAGCCAGGTGACACCTGGAGGAAGGAGAAGAGTAGGGTCATATTGGGCCCTGACCTGTATAGTGTCTGGTCTGGTTGGAAAATTGGACTGTTTGAAAAGCCTTGCACTTAAGAACAACAGGCTTAAACCAGGATTTTACTCAAAAAAGGGCTCTCAGCCACTGTTTAAGGAACTCTCAAGCACTTCAGCTGGCTTGGGCCACTCCCCTGGAGGCTGACTGTTGCTGTTTTCCAGGTAGTGGGCTGCAGCCACAGTGGGTTGGTAAAGAGCAAGGAGGATGCGCACCTCCCGGACCACAGCACAACTGGCGAAATAAAGGCACCAGCCTGGCCAGATGGACAGTGTGGGACAGTAGGGGAAAGGCACCCGCCTGGCCAGATGGACTGATGGAGGAAATGGCCTGGAGGCTGGGCAGCTATGAATATTGTAGCCCAGACCTGGCCTCTATCTTCAAAAAACCATAGGAAGGGAGAAAAGTGAAACTCAGACCCCTCTGCCTGTGGCATCCAGGAAAACCAGATGATTTTGCTTGGTGGGTTTAAAGTCAACAGCAGGCTTTTTTTCCTTCTCTTTTTTCCTCTTTCCCCACCTCATCCCCACCCCACCCCCCACCCCTTGAAAGTGAGACAGTAAGACCTGGAGCTGTGGAAATCCAGAGACAGATCCAAACGGGGATCACAAGGCTAACCTCACAACTGAGAAACACAAATTTCACTTCGCTATCCTACAGAACTTGCATTTTATTGTTTATTTGTATTTTTCATTATTTTCCTTTTATTAGTATTTTTTATTTCTCTTTTTTCTGTTTAGTTTTCTTCATTTTATTCCTTTGTTTACTTGCATTGTTTGCCTGGTTTTCCTTATTCTCGCTTTCATATTGTATTTTAATTTTACTTCTTTCACTTCACTCATGTTCCAATAACACTACTCTTGATTGTGTACTTTCTATTCTTGTTATTCAAATCATATATTTCTCGTCATATTGTTGTCCCAGTACTATTGTAAATAATTGTCATTCCGTATAATTGTAAATACTACACAGCACCCCTTCCTGATCTTAGCCCATTTTAATATCTCTCTGAGCTTTATTACTGTTGTGGTTAATTCTATTCTCTCTCACACTAAACCTGCTTTCTGTCCTTTACTCTCACTATAGCTCATCGTCTAACCTTGCAAAGCCCACTGTTTCTGGATTCAGTTCATAATCCTCTCCTCTTACAAGAGTCTTTCTATTTTCATCTTTTACAAAAAGTGGCTAGTTCAGTGAAATATCATGGTTAACACTACACTTATATAAAGTATTTTCTATATTTTGTCTCATTGTTGGTACTTTAAATCCCATAGAATACTCTTTCACTGTCCTAATCCATTTTGCCTTCCCCCTGCCACTGATCACATACAAGATTAGGTGGCAGCTGCGAACATCAGTATATCTGCTAGAGGAGAGAACCCACTAATAAAAGAACCACCAACAGGTAAAAACCCAAGTACAACAAAAGAGCATACACAAACAGAAGAAAAGGCAAAACTAGAACATCCAGACAGTGAGATCAAAGAGACCACTCCACTGAATCCCATAAAATTCCTACCATACAAATCCACCCTACAGAGACATCTAGCAAAGCAGAACATCAGGAATTGCAGAAATAAAAAGGGTCATCTGAAATGGGGAGACAGAAAAAGAACCTTCAATAAAGGGAATGGAAGACTCTCCACTAAAAGAGCTAAGTGAAATGGAGGTAAGCAAACTATCAGAAATAGAATTCAAAATAATTGTTATAGGAAGCTCAAGGTACTCACAGACAACTACAAGGAACTGAGTGAGAACACCAGTATGAAAAAGGAAATAGAAACTATAAACAAAAACCAGGAAGAAATGAACAATAAAATTTGGGATATAAAAAACACACTAAAAGGAATTACAAGCAGGCTGGATGAAGCAGAGGACCAAATTAGTGAGCTGGAAGACAAGGTGGAAAGAAACACCCAGGTGGAGCAGCTGCATGAAAAAAGAGAAAAAATATGAAGATAGATTAAGGGAACTCCAAGATAACATGAAATGCAACAACATTTGAATCATAGGAATGCCAGAAGGAGAAGAAAAGGAACAAGGAATAGAAACCCTGTTTGAAAAAAAATAATGACATAACCTTCTGAGCCTGGAGATGGAAAAAAAAAAAAAAAAGCATGCAAGTTCAGGAAGCACAGAGAGTCCCAATCAAGATAAACCCAAAGAGGCCTACTCCAAGACACATCATAATTTAAATACCAAGTTTTAAAAACAGAGAATCTTTAAAAAAGCAAGGGAGAAACAAGAAGTAGCATACAAAAGAGCTCCAATAAGGCTAACAGCTGATTTCTCAGCACAAACACTCCAAGCAAGACATATTCTAAGTAATAAAAAACAAAGCCCTGCCACCAAGACTACTTTACCCATCAAAGCTCTCAATTAAAATGTTAGGCAAAATAAGGACTTTCCCAGACAGAAAAAGGCTGAGTATACAAGGCTGAGTATATCTTAGTATACAAGATATACTAAAGGGACTATTATAAGATGAGAAAGGAAAAGAGTGAGAGAGGAACATAGGTACAAATGGGGGAAAATGAATAAATTTCTATCAATAATAACCTTAAATGTTAGTGGATCAAATGCTCCAATCAAAAGACATAGAGTAGCTGAATGGATAAGAAAATATGACCCAAGATTTCCCAACAAGATGGAGGCATAGATAGAAATTCTTTGCTTCCTCCCATAACCAAAAGGAGGATAAAAACCAATCTAAAATCAATGAACAACCAGAAATGCCAGAAAATCACATGGCATGGAACTCTAACAGCCAAGGAATTATAGAATCAGTCAACCAGACCAACCAGACTAGTAGTACCATGCAGGTGAGGCTGACTGAGAGAACCCTCAGCAAGGCAGCAGACCACAAGGGTGGAGCCAGCTGAGAGAAACTGAGACGAGGTGATGGACAGTGAGGGGACCTGACTGAGCAGGAAACTGACTCAGAGCTGATTATGGACTACGGTGGTTGCCACAATGTGAGAAACTCCCGGTCTCACATGAGAGTTCATTGAAAATTGGGCTAGAGACAAGCATGCAAGCTGCAATGTTCCCTCTCTGACCCCTCCCCCACAGGCAGTGCCACAACA